TTATTGCACAGAACAGAAATTCATCGGAAGCCATCATAATGAATAATAACATTGGCCGCGAAAGCCTCAAAACTCAAATTATTTCGTTCATATCAACTAACTTTTATGCAAAATACGATGTAAAACAGTTACTCGTCGTTCATTCTTACATTAGAAAACATAATTGAAGAAAAATGGAATAATAGAAGGATATAACGATGGTATATTTATGATAGAACGCGGGACAGAAATCCATAAAAAGTTTTTTTTTCTCAAGAGGCAAATGCATGCATTTACAATATTCTTATTATATATATTCATTTGAGAGCGACGTCCATTCGACTTCCATTACTCCAAGTGCCTGCACGTATAAATGATAAACCCCGGGCTTGTCTTTGTTTTACAGCCTTCTGAATCGTCACGACTGTCACATTAAATTCATGACTTTATTAGATGTCTGTGCGATACAATGTTAGAGCTTAAAAAATCAACAATAACTCCCACATGTGAAAGGCCCTCACTAGATTGTCTCACAGTTTTCTATACTGGGTCTGAACTTCCACTAAAAAAATTGTCTGCACTTTTTCCCCTTTATTTGGCAGAAAACGAAGTGTGAGGGTAAAATTAATTACGCAAATTTTTATTTCGCTGGAAAAATCATCTGATATTATTTATGAGCGGAAGAAGAATTTTTTACGAGACCTGTCACTTCATTGATCCCATCGCTACATTTTTTTTCAATTAAAATCATTATTTATTATTAATTTTTTAAAGTTTTCAAAACATTAAAAAAAATGTAAAAATTATTCACGTGAATTTTTGAGGAAAAAGGATTTATTCTTAGGGATTTGAATCGGAAATTGTTCTCATTTTTCATTAAAATCATTACCTATTGTTCATTTTTTGAAGTTCTCAAGAGATTAAAAAAAATATAAAAACGTCCAGATTGATCTAAAAAAACTCAGGGAAAAATAAATTAAATAAATTTTTATTTCGATAAAAAAATTCTCAGATAGTACGTATAAACGGAAGAAGAAGTTTTTCAAAAGGTCCGTCCGCTGAGTCTCGGCGGAAGACTTCCGGTACGCCCACGCGATTGCGAATCACCGAGCATATTCTCCCAGCGGGGTGGATCGGCTCGTTAAAGCGTCGTTCACGCGAGACGTCGTCTTCTTCGTGCTGGCGGATCTTTTAAACCGACACGGTTACACGCGCCATCAGTTAAACTCCGACGTTCAGCCTCTCACGGTTCGACTCTCACCTAATCTAAATTTTTTTCGTGAGATAATAAACATCACTCCCTTATTTTCGCGAATATCTTTATAAATTTTAATTCTACGGGAAAATGTCACAAGACTTTTTTTGTAGCTCACAAAATTCTCTAGAAAGATGTCTTCTGAAATTTTTTTCTAAACTCAATAATTACAGACCTAAAACAATTAAAAGACAAGATGATCAATGAAATGAAAAAAGATTAAGATCTGACGCAATTGTTTTTTAAATAATTTTGTGAATTTTTGGGTGATTAGAATCAATACTTATAAAGATTTAATTTCATTTTGTTAAATTTTTTATCAAGATAATTAAAGATGAATGATTCAGACCCAGAGAAATGATTCATTTGAATTAAATGAACTTCATTTGATTGAACAAACAGTTTATTTCATTCTAATAGAGAATTTATTCAGAATTTGAGCATTTTCACTGAAATAACTTAACAGCAATTAATGTCCAATGAAAAAATTGTTGAAATGAACAGAAAAATTTCAAATCCACAATTTTATTCCAAGAATTATTAATAATTACGCAAAAACAAAACCAAACAAAACGAAATGATCAATTCAACGATTCCCAAAGATTATTGATTCCCAGTGATTCATACGTTCAACTCTATCCGATGTGCCCGCCGATAAAATCCATTAATAACCCTTTATCTTCCCCCCGCGACACGTGTGAATAGTCCTGAAAATCGGATAATTCACCAACACCCAGTTGAGCCCTGAAATATCTCCGTCGATGTCATTTATCGTGCGGTTACAGTTGTTGAATGCTAAGTATACACGTGAGAGGCGCCTTCCTCGTTTTCTTATCTCAAGTATACACACACTTGGTCCACCTACATCCCCCGGGGCGTGCCCGTTTACGCACCGTGTCTATAGTCCATCGTTTTAACATTTTTTTTACAATTTCTTTTTTTTTCGAATGAAAATAAACGTCCAGGCTTTGAAAACTACTCGGCGAATATTCTGCGTTAAAGATAAACATGTAGAATTGCTTGTGTAATCTTTTTTTTGCGGCTAAGTGGCGACACCGGTATTCCAGGGAGTGCTAGAGTCCCAGTTACGTTCGATCTTTTGAATGTAAATTGCGTTTTTTCTTCTAATTCTTCATTTTTTTATTCGCTCATTCATTCATTTCAATTGGGAAATTAAGACAATTATTTTGTCCGCTATTTTCCATTTCCACTCTGTCTCAGATGATTTCTAAACTATTTTTAAACTTCTTCTATTGCTATTTCAATTTACTTTCTTCATTCACGCATTTTATTTTAGAAATTATGACGATTTACGCTCACGTGGTGTTTATATTACTTCATATTTATTTTCATCTCTTTTTTTTTTATTCTAAAAATTCTTGCTTCAACTATTTAATCACTCTAATTATTTCAATGCCATTTTAGCACGCATACTCCATTAATTGTCCTTTCTCAAGGCATTGAGTGGGAACGAGGGAATTCTCTGAAAATTTCACTCAATAATTTTTTTTATTTAAGTCTATTCACGAAAAAATTTAAAATTTCGCTTCTTAATTATCGAAACAATGTTTCATTTATCAAAGAGTGTGGTTTATTTTTTAGATGAATTATATTGATAATGTAGGAGGGAATAGAACAGAAATAATGAATCAATGGTTATTAAATTATTTGAAATACCTCGTGACAGTCTGATAATCTCGGTTGTATCAGAGGTGTCAGAACTATTGTGCGGGAAATCAGAGTCATTTGTCAAAGAGTTACTTGCACTGTGAGACTGACTCATCGTAATGCGGTATTAAAGGCGGAGAGAAGTGCGCATTTGCGCCAATGCAATATGCATGTTCATGTGAACGGTATAAATTCTTTATTAATCATTCAACAAAAATTCTTCATCCACTTTTCTGTGAATATCTCGAAAAGTATTGAATTTAGAGGAAAATGACACAGACAATTTTTTGTAGAAAATTAAATTCCCCACAAAAAATCTTCTATGAAATTTTTTGATTGATCTCTTCTTTCAAGAGATACTCGCAATCGAATTCAGACCATCTTTTTTTTTCACTATTTCATCTTCAATTTTTTTATTTCTCGATTATTTCGGGAATATCTAGAAAACTATTGAGTTTAGAGAAAAATGTTGTGATAAACTATTGTAGGAAATTAAATTTGCTATAACAAATCTTTTATGATATTTTCTCTTAAATCCGCTAGTTTCCGAGATAATTCTCCTCAAAAAAATTTTTGCATGAAAAAATTTTTTTTTTTATTTCAGTTATTCTCAATATCGTCATTCGCATTCCCATTAATTTCCGAGAGTTCAAAAAACTGGTGCACGTGATGAGGAAGATATAAACCCATGGTCCACCTTCAATGTATCCCTGTGGCACGTAATAGCCCGCAATTTATCGTTCAATAAATCGAAAAGCGGTCAGGTATCACTTACTGCGTAATGCTACCTTCAAAACGTTTAATCGAGGAGAGAGAGACCCATGCAAACGGGGCATCCAACTGAAAGCTTAATTTTTATTTTTTCATAAACGACAAAATTATAGGCCCCCTCGTGATCGGGCGTTACTCATTATATCCTTGGGTATAACCGACGAGCATAAATAAAGGGAGAAAAAATGAGGGACAATTAATTCTCTCGGGTGATCATTCCCGTACTCTGTCCCTCTCTGTTCTTTTTTCCTGTTAATGATAAAAGAATTTTTGATAAGTTGTAATAATAATCTGTAATCATGATTCAATGGATTTTTAATCGTAATAACCTTTATCAATAATTTTAAAGACGAAAATTGAAAAATTAAATTTCTCAAATTTTTTTTCCAAAGTTTTTTTGGAAATATCTCAGCAACTATCAAGTTTAGAGAGATTTGTCATAAGAACTTTTTTGTGGGAAATTAAATTCTCTGCAAAAAATTATTTGTGACATTTTCGCCTAGACCTCATAGATTCCGAGATATTTGCACATCAATCCTTGAAAAAAAAAATTGATTCATTCCTTCTCATCACAAAAATGAATGATTATTTTTAAAAAATCATAATTAATTGAAACTGTCAAAATATCCGAAGAATTTCCCCGAAAGAGACTGACATTAGCCCTGTCTCCCGAAGCACGTAAATCCTGTTTTTCTTGCATAACGTATATGACTGGAGACCGTTGTAAAAAAAAATTCCATACTCATTGCAGTGAGTTTATGTACTCCCTCGTAACAAGTGCCCCGGAGGTAAATAATTTATATCTCAAGCTCGTTGACACAGCGATAAACAGTCTTTGATCCATTGAAATGGATTTATGTCACTGGGAACACCTGCTCCCACCGATAATTAATCATTTTTATTTAAACAAAAGCAGCACGATAAATCACATTAAATCACTTAACATTAAGATTCCGGAATAATTTGACTCAATCAGTTCCACCATTCGATTTTTCCCTTCAATATTTTTCATATTAAGCGAGATAATTATTTATTCGTCTAAATTCAATTGAATAATCAGAATGAAACGATAAATCACGCTGATTTATTCACGATTTATTTGAGGGCTTAATTGAGTGTTTGCGATGATCTATTGATCTCTGCGTTTGTCCCTCCCCTCGTCTCCGAGGATTTGCATACAATGCCAGATGGGTGATAACTAATTGTAGAACGCCTCGAGGGCGTCACAGCCGAAATTTAAATGCCGAGGGTAGATTACTGTTATTGTTGACTTTATTCCGGTATATTTCGGGTTTTGAATTAATCGTGAAGGGGCTCTTTGTTGCAGGATGCCGGTGTAACATGATTGGTTCCACCTCCTCGGCGTGTGACATCGTCTCGGGACAGTGTCTGTGCAAGCCGAATATCATTGGACGACAGTGTCATCAGTGTCAGGTAGGATAATATGAGGTTTTCAAGGTGTGGAAATTCGGGGAACTTTTGTTAGGATCTAGTTGAGGGTCAAATGGTTTTGGTCTTTAGTTGAGGGTCAGTCGACCTTTAGGTTGGAGTCGCGGGTCAAATGGTCTTGAGGGTCAAACGACCTTTACGGGCAGTTGAGTTGAGGGTCAAATGGTCTTGAAGGTCAAATGAGCCTTAAGAATGTTTGGGATTTAGTATTTAGGGTCAAATGGTCTTGGGGGTCAAACAGGTTATGGGAGAATGATTAGAAAGGGTCTTTGACCCTTAGAGCCAATTTGGCTCTCATTTCCAAATGCCCTTTAGGGGCATTTGACCCTCAAGACCAAGTCAAATGGTCTTTAGGATCAAATGGTTTTAAGGTCAAAACCCAAATAGTCTTTAGGTTTTTAGTTGAGGGTCAAATGGTTTTGAGGGTCAAACGAACTTTACGGGTGTTTAGAGGTGAGGGTCATTTGCCCCTCAAGACGAAGGTCAAATGGTCGTTAGAGCCAAGGGTCAATTGACCTTCAACTCTACACGTTTTCACGGATCGTTTGACACAATAATAACACGCAAAACTGATTGTAAATTGCTCATCATTCTTTATTATTCAATTATCTCAATTATCAAATGTTTTTGAGAGTCGAACGACTCTTGATATTTTTTCATGAAACCAATTGTGCCAGAGACTGCAAAGTAATATAGAAGGAATTTTCGGTATCAGTCATACACTCAGATATTTATTTATATTCATCCACGAATAATGACCGGCTTGTTTATCTGATGTGTTTGGTGTCGAAGGTTGGTTACTGGGGCATGGCGAGTGGGGCTGGATGTGCCCCCTGCGGCTGTGACACGATGGGCTCCACCAATGTCTCCTGCCATCATGATACAGGACAATGTTTTTGTCGTCCTGGTGTGGGTGGTGCACGATGCGACAATTGTTTATCGGGGTACTACGGATTTTCGGAGAATGGATGTCAAGGTATTTCATTGCATCCTCACATCAATAAAAAAAATCATCTAAAACTAAAGAAAACAACCTTTAAAAAATTATTCCGCTATTTTTTATAATTATTAATAATTTCCATGACTATTCTTCCCGTGAAAAATTGTCAGATGTTTTTTTTGATAAAAATTTCTGACCTAATAACAAAATTCTTGATATTCCCTCTTACAAATGAGTTAAAATCACCCATTAATCACATAATTACAGAATTATGCATTAATAATTATTCAAAAAAATTTTAGAATTTTGTTTTCACTAATTAAATGAGAATTAACTTGAGGAAAAAATTAATTTAAGGCTAAATGTCAAGAGACATTTTTTTCACTCCAAAAATCCACGAAAAATATAGTTCCTCTTTTTGCCTTAATTAAAAAAATAACAACTAATCAACAAAATAATTGCATAACTATTAATAATTTTCTCTTTAACTCGTTCATCTCATCATTTTCCCAGCAATTTTATTCAATTATCTAAAAAAACATAGAGATGAAAATATAATATCAGTAAAATTATGTTCTTGGAAAAATGACAACTAATTAACAAAATAAATAGATAAATGCGTAATTATCAGACCTTCTTCAACTCGATGATATCATAATTTTCCTATCGGTTTTATTCAATAATTTTTTTAAAATCGAGATAAAAGTATAGTATCAACACATCATAATGCATTTTTAGTCTGCGATCCATGCACAAAACCCGGCCATGTATGTGACCCAGACACCGGTAGATGCGTGTGTCCACGTTTGACCTTTGGCGAGCACTGTGATCGTTGCAGGCCAGATTCCTACGATCTGATACCAGGCATTGGTTGCAAGGCATGTGCATGCACTCCAGGCTCCACGAGATCCCAATGTGACTTCAGTGGACAGTGCCCATGTCGAGTTGGCTTTGAGGGTCTCAGGTGTGATAAATGTGCACCCGGATATTATGGATACCCCAAGTGCAAGCCTTGTAACTGCCATGCCGGTGGTACCATCAAGTGCGATGATGGATTGTGTCATTGTGATCAGAATGGACAGTGTCCTTGCAAGGTAAGAGAAATTGTTTTTTATTTTTTCGAAATCCATTTCACTATTCTATCGACACTAGCATTTTTTTTCATTTTCAATGATAATATGAATTAACAAATCTATTGTTATTGTGGATAAAACAAAATCATTTTGTGTCGCAAGTCCTCATAAAATGGTTCGACATTTTTTTATGAACAAGCTCAGAGGAGGGGAGAAGAGAAATAATGGAAGCGGAAAATAAAGGGAATTCTACTGTAGTTGGAACTTTTCATTAAATTGAAATGCGTAAATTTCAAGCAAAAATATTGTTTCAATGAGCATGAAACGTTAAAATAAAGAGTTTTCTTTTTTATTTATGATTTTTCGTATCCAAAAAAATTCTTCAGGAATATGCACTGGGGAGGCAATGCAACCAATGCAAGGAAGGGACCTTTGGCCTCTCTGAGGACAATCCCAAGGGCTGCACCGAGTGCTTCTGCTTCGGGAGATCGACCCTCTGTCATCAGGCAGGTCTCACCTGGGGCCAGAGACGCCTGACTAGGCCTCGGATACTCCACATCAACGAGTCTGCCAATGATGTTATCGTGAGTAGAAATAAAATGAAAAAATTCAGCGAATCGATGAATGAATGAATGAAAGAATGAATGAGTGAATGAATGAATGGATGGAATTATAGGAGATCAAAGGGAATGAATCAATTAACCATTTTAATTATGGAATCGTAATATTCAATTACTAGTTTATTTGCTGAGCAGATAAGAAAAGCCGACGCTGGGGGTTTAGTCTCATTCATCTGTTTGCGTTGGATAATAGGAGATATAATGAGTCCAAGTTCCACCATTTGCTACTACATTAGTATTTAATTGAATATTCACTTATTTGAGGGATAATTGCATAAATAATAGCCATTTTCGGTCATTTTTAATTCTTTTCTCACTGAAAAAAATTCAATTGCGCCAAAATTCTTGTCATTTGAGATATCGGGGCCAATTTGGAGTAAACAAAACTTATTGAAAAAATTAAAAAATTTTCAAAAAATCATAACTTTCCAAATTATTAATATTTTCAATTTTATTTATTCAAAATTTTTGTCTAATAGCCATCTTTCCATAAAAATTTCAACTATTTATACATATTTATATAATTTATTCTCACGTTTGATAAGTTAAAAATAATAATTCGAATACTCTCTCCAATAATTTTCTCTTTTTTCTCGCAGATATCGAACTACGGATACTCCATAGCTCTCCCGACCTTGAATGGCGGCCTGAACGTGACCAATGGATTATCAATCATTCCTGGGAGTGAGGGTGACGTCATTCTACCCGCAAATCTCTATTACAGTTATCCGTTGTACTGGCAATTGCCGGAGTCTTTTCTCGGGGACAAAGTAAATATTTTCTCTAGTTATTCCCGGGTTTTTATGGCTTTTGGAGACGTTATTTATTTCGTCGTTCAAAGATTGACTAGGAATATTGGATAGTCGAATGATTCTTCTTTATTTGAATACGGTGATTGGATTCATGAAGGAGTTCTGTTTCTGTTTTTAAAAATTTTGTTTTCTTTTCATTTTTTAGGTCGTTTCGTATGGTGGATTTCTGAGGTTCAAAACTTCCGTTGTGGGGGGAATCCCACTGAGATCTAGTCTTCGATATCCCTTGGTTCAGATACAGGGGAATGATAAAATTATTCTGGAGTATTATCAACATCTACCGGTTGATGACAATAATTTTAAGATTAGGTAAGAAGTACTTTCAAATAAAAAAAACAACACGCATTTTTCTAAACATTTTTTTTATTCCTGAAATTTTCAATTTCGTATTCATTTCATTCAATTCCTCTGGGATTATTTAATATTTCTGGAAATAGTAAATTTATCGAAAAATATCATCCAATTTTTTTTGCAGCCCATGAAATTATTTATGAAAAACATTGACCCCTAAACTCACTAGCTTTAAAAATGTTCGCAAATTAATCTTCACAAATTCTCTATTTCTTCTCCAATTCTTCTACCTTTCGAAATTATTTTCTAAATATATCTGAAACAACTGACTTCATGAAAAAATCTCACAAAACACTTCACAGCCCCAAAAACTGTAAAATAAATTAACAAATAAATTATCACAGTTGCTAATTTCCCCTGCAATTCTCTCTAGATTTCACGAATCTCTCTGGCAAATTCAAAACCGTCCAGACTACAGAGTATCCCGTGAAGTTTTGATGGTGGCCCTCCAGGACATTCAGCACATATACCTCAAGGCCTCGGACCTATCAGAATTCCACGAAGCCCAGTGAGTAAAACCCTCTTTACAGTCCCACGAAGTAACGCCCAAAACTAAAATCCCCCTTTTTCAACTTGAAAAGCTGTAAAACAGAAGCCATAATAAATGATAATTTCACACAGACTGCTGGAGGCATCATTGGACGCTGCTGTCCTGACTCCCACCCACACACCAGCCCTGGCAACGGGAATTGAAATTTGTGAGTGTCCAACTGAGTACAACAACACATCCTGCCAGGATCCCAGTATCGGTTATTATCGCTGGTACAACAACGAAACAACAACAGCCACGATTGTAATCGATCTGGTGGGCCAAGCGAGGCCATGCCAGTGTAATGGTAGATCGGAAATCTGTGACATAGAAACCGGTTACTGCTTGGTGAGACAAAAACACATTCAGACATGAACAATTTTGATATCTGTACTAAATATCTGTTTTATTATATTTTTATTGCAATGGGTCAGATATTTCTTTCATTCTTTATTCAATCAAATTTCATTTTTATTTGGTAGTAATATAATTCATAGACAAATTGTTTCAATTATCAAGTGGTGAAACAAAATGACTTAATTTTATTTGATGAGATGCGAATGTTTTTTAGAATAGAATGACATTTATCAAATAGTTTTTATTGAATTGAGTTTTATGGATTTTCCACTTGCATAATCATAATTTCTCATTTTATCATTGATACAAAAGTAATTCTGTCATGAAGACAATCAGATTTTTGATCATATTGTGAAAATATTGATGATTTTACTTTTTTTGAAATGAAAAAATGTTTTTTTTCTGCAGAATTGCAGAGAAGATACAGCAGGTGAATTTTGTCACGTGTGCGCCGAGAGTTTTCACGGGTATCCTGATCAAGGGGGCTGCCAACCTTGCCCCTGTCCACATGCCGATAAAAGATTCTCCAAGGGATGTGTGTTAAGGGGAAATGAAGCTGTTTGTCACTGCAAACCTGGTGAGTATTCATTAAAATTTGCAATTTATTTTATTCAAAACAGATTAATACACGTTAATAAATTTGTTCTCTTCGTTGTCTAATTAATAATTTGATTTCTAACTAATAAACTTTTTATTTGAATCAAGAAAACATGTATTCGTATCCAAAAACAAATTTATTCAATTGAATTCAAATTTATTGAATTTAAATAAACCATTTCTCAGGGAAATTGCTTTCATCAGAATGTGGTTAATATATTTACCTCTCCCTTAACGTTGATTTCTAAATTATTTTTTTTAACGACAAATGATGCAATCAATCTCATGATCGAAGTTAGTCAAGATGGCATTGGAAAGAATATTTTAAATCACAATTGAAATCATTTACAATAATTTTTTCAGTTATCACCGAAAGACGATCAATCACAGTATAAAAAAGAATAGAATGAATGTGAAATTGATAGCGTTGCAACCAACGTCAAAATTTCCTGACATTTAACAAATCTGTGAATAAAATAAATAACCAAGTCTAACAAATTAAAAAAAAAAATTGAAAATAAAATCCTTCACTTGAAATTTTCTTCTAAACCCCAGGCTACACTGGCTCCAGATGTGAGCGCTGTTCCTACGGATACTTCGGCTACCCGACCCACCCCAATGGCACCTGCACCCCCTGCAACTGCAACCCAGCAGGCAGTGCCTCAGACGAGTGCGACGAGGAGACAGGTCAATGCAACTGTCGTCCAGGCTCAACAGGACGAGACTGCTCCCAGTGCACAGCAGACCGCCACGTCTTCATAAACAACATCTGCACCTCCTGCAACGACAACTGCACAGGCCTCCTCCTGGAGGATCTGTCGCAATTATCCCTGAACCTCACCTTGGAGACCACCCACATCGCCGACGGTTACATCCCTCCCCCGTGGGTGGAGTTAGCGTACATCGACTCAAACGCAACTGAATTGCTCCAAGAAATCGACCGAATAGATGAGCTGAAGGACAGGATGAGGAGCGTCCCCTGGGGGGACTACCAACTGCTGAGGATCAAAGCCGAGAATTTGCTGAAGAGTTTTTCTGAAGTCAGTGGCACCTCCTGGGACTTGAAGCCAAAGGCTGAGGATTTCAAGAACAACATCTTCAGTTCTCACTTGGAGGTGAGGAACCTGCGAGACCTCCTGGAGGCCATCACCACGCAGTTGATTCAGTATGGAGACGATGTCAAGAGGGTGGGGATCAAGAAGGCCCTGAAGGAGGCGAGGATGATCCTGAGTTACTTGAAGAGTGTTAATTTAACCCAGAAGACGATGGAGTGCCAGAGGATTCTGGACGAGAGTGAGGATTACATCGAGTGGTTGACTGGGCAGTTGGATCTCGTTGAGCCCTTGGATGAGGTCAGGAGAAGGGCTTCGAGGGTTGAGGTAAAGGCTTACGACATCAAGAAGGTCCTGGAGGGCAACATGGAGACGCTGTTCCAGTACGACACATTGTTCAATCAGATAAATGGGAGTTATGCTGGTGTGAAGGTTCTGAACGATAACATAAGGATTCTCACGGCTGATACTGTGGGGATGATCGAGGAGGGGGTGATGATGAACGAGGAGGGGAGAGGGCTCATGCTGGAGAGCCAGAATAGCCTCCAGGCCATTCCCGAGTTGAAGCAAACCCTCGACCACTGGACGGAGAAGCTCACCATAAAGGAGGGAATCCTCTATCGCCTGAACTACGAGTACCAGGAGAAATACGTGACGAAAGCAGTGGAGCACTCGCAGAATCTGTCAGACTACGTCGATCGTTACGTCGCTCTGTTCGACAGAACCAGAACGCAAGCTGCGAATCCCCTGAAGGCAGTGGAGGCCTACAAGCACATCGTGGAGAACCTCCAGGGGGCGAGAGTGGCAGCAGCTGCTGCCAACGAATCAGCTTACGAGGCGTACTACAAGGTCTACCCCAAGGGCTCCAGTGGCAAATCCCTGCTGGACGCAGCAGCCGAGATGTCAGAGTCGTCAGCAGGACAACTGGACCTCGCCCAGGCCCTCAAGAGCCCCCTGGCCTCGATCCTGTCTACGTTGGAGACCCACCAGCACTCGGTCCAGGACTTGAAGTCCTCACTCAACTCCACAGGCATCAAGGACAATCAGATAAACATCAAACTCCGAGAGCTGCAGTCCTCTGCGACACACCTGGAGGACTCCATTCAGTCCATCAAGTCGACGCATCAGAGTCTTCTCGACTCAATTCAACAATCAGAGACTTTGATCAACGACTACAAGCTGGGAATTCAGAATAATCTGCTGCCTCAGCTCTCGTCGCTGAAGCACGAAGGGGACTCGAAGATCTCGCTGGCTAGTGAACAAATCACAGAAGCTCAGTCCAATGTCAAGAAAGCTGACGCCAAGTTGATATCTCTGACTCATGCGTCCCAAAGGGGACAGCAGGAGTTCTCCAAGTGGAATAAAACACTTTCAGAGAAGCTGAAGAACTTGAAGGACAAGATTGCCGAGGCCAGGAACACGGCCGAGGGGATCAGGGTATCGTTGAAGTCCTCGGAGAACAAGAAGTGCATGAGATCCTTCAGGTCGCCGTCTATTCAGCCCTCGAGCACCAATAACATCGTCATTACTCTGGCTCTGATACATCACAAGACAGAGGGGGCACTGTTCTATCTGCCTAGCAGTGTCAATGATGACTTCTTGGCGATTGAATTATTCGATTCGAAGATACGGTTTCTGTGGAACGTGGGGGGAGGCACTGGGGTGATCGTTCATCCTGAGGAGCTGTCCTACGGGGATCCGCAGAATGACGAGTCCTGGTACAGGATAGAGGCGGAACGCCTGAGGAATGTGGGGAGGCTCACTGTTAGGAGACAGGTCGGGCCTGGAGGGTCAGTGCCGATTTCTAATTCTACGAATCCTCAGTTCTCCAGGTTCGTAATCATATTGTTTTATTTAGTTTTTTTTTGCATGGGGAAGGGTCGTTCAAGGATTATGTAAGCCAATTTTGGGAAAATTCATGGAATTTCGGAAATAAATTCAAGTTTAAACATAAATTCAGGCACATGTCCAAGACACAAGTTCAGGTCTGAAAATAAATTGAGGTCCAATCACAAATTCAGGTGTAAGCTCACGGGATTAAATTCAGGTCTAAAAATCAATTCATATTTACGATCACATCTTGCGAGTCCCATCCTAGACACAAGGATGGCCATCAATCGTCCAATTCTTCAATATTAAAGGAATTTCCAACTTACATTGATCAAAGTTTAAATAGACTAATTGAAATTAAAAAATAGTAAATTAATTGGTAATCTAAATTTCCAATTGATGATGAATTAAGGCCCGGTTGCACCAGCTCCGGGCAACGAAAAAGTCACATAAGAAAAACAGTGNCCAATCGCTGAACAAAAAAATTTTTCCCATTCGGATTCAAAATTCAGGCACCATTAGGGAGTATCTCTGGTTAAAAATTATTTTTGGAGCTAATCAAATTTATTTGTATCTGTTCCACGCATTGAATATTTTTCAGATTGTTTTTTTTTTTAATAAATGCAAAAATATTAATCCATGCCAAAAAGTAGCAACAGCGTCGGTAGTTTTTTTTTTCACCAGGAGCTGGTACCGCTGANGGAAATAAATTCAAGTTTAAACATAAATTCAGGCACATGTCCAAGACACAAGTTCAGGTCTGAAAATAAATTGAGGTCCAATCACAAATTCAGGTGTAAGCTCACGGGATTAAATTCAGGTCTAAAAATCAATTCATATTTACGATCACATCTTGCGAGTCCCATCCTAGACACAAGGATGGCCATCAATCGTCCAATTCTTCAATATTAAAGGAATTTCCAACTTACATTGATCAAAGTTTAAATAGACTAATTGAAATTAAAAAATAGTAAATTAATTGGTAATCTAAATTTCCAATTGATGATGAATTAAGGCCCGGTTGCACCAGCTCCGGGCAACGAAAAAGTCACATAAGAAAAACAGTGAATTTGGATGTTCGATGGATTATTTTACCCGGGAGAGTATCTCAAATTTATCCCAGGACCAAAAAATAAAATTTAATCCCAAGGTTAAATCAGTGTTAATTCAAATGAGGCTACAGGACAAATAAAAAATTATTCTTCGGATTAAATATTGAAAAATTATGACCCCTACGATAAAATTGACCCCGAGGATAAATTTTACCCTGGGGTTTGCTTGGATAACAAGGCTTGGTGCAACCGGGCCTAAATTTCCAATTGATGACGAGTGAAATATTGGAAAATATGGAACTATAAATTTTCTATTAAGTACGCAATACTAAAATTCTTATAAGAGATTTCCGATTATCCAAATAATCGTCAATCTTCCTAACTCAATCACTGATTAATGAATAATTCAAAATTCGACTCTTTAAATTGACGATTACCCCAATAATTAAAATTTAAACGCGATATCAACTAATTGACAACTTGATAATTTAACCGTAATTATAATTGATGGATATATGGCTATCCCTGCGTGAACAATACCCCCATTACTTTCGCCCGCCAGGTTCGACGTTGCGACAACCGACAGAATTTGGCTGGGAGGTGCCCCAGCCTCCCAAAGACGTCCCTCCGAGCTCCTGGCCCCCAACGGACTCCCGGGCTGTGTCCACCAAGTCCTCTTCGATAACAAACAAATCGGCCTCTGGAATTTCGTGACTTCGGCCCCTGACAAGGCCTGCAAGGCCTGCGTCGAGGGCATCGAGGAGACCCGAAACGAGCTCTCCTACAGTTTCAACGGTGACGGCTACTCCGTGCGGAATCGAGTGCCCTCAGGCCCCTACAACAAGTACACTTTCGGTGTCTCCCTGACCTTCCGTACCTTCGACGAGTCAGCTTTACTGTTCCTAGCCATCAACGAGGAGACCCACCAACACGTCATGATCTACCTTCGAGAGGGACGAGTCGTCCTCCAGATAGATTACGGTGGCAACATCTCCATGGAGATGTCCTCTACCTTCAAGTACAATAACGGCAACTGGACGAAGGTGGACGCCTTCAGGCAGTATCAGCTTCGAAAGAACATTGAAAAGTGTTCACTGAGTGTTGGAGAGAATGACAAGAAGCTCGGGGCGCCTACACCACAGCCCAAGAAGGAGGACATTCCTGATCTCTCTGGCTCTAAATACTATTTTGGCGGTGTACCACCGAGTTTCAGGGCTGAGAAACTAGTGCTGCCACATCAGGTCTCATTCCTCGGCTGCATGAGCAACATCAATGTTCAGGAGGGCTATGACCCCATGGCGGAGGTCTTCTACGGGGTTGAGCCGTCCTGTTCGAGCAGACCTATGACCATTGTTGGATTCTACGGGGATGGCTACCTGGAGCACAGGTCATTCCCCCTGAAGAAGAAGTCCGCCAATGTGACTGTCTCCTTCAGAACCATGCAGCACGAAGCTGCCCTGGTCTTGTCCACCTTCCAGGGTCAAGAGGATGGTCTCAACACTGTGGGAAGTGATGACAAGGACAATTATTACTCGATAGCGTTGGTCAATGGACAGGTCCAGGTGAGGATCAATGCGGGCGTTGGGGAATTGACTCTCCAGTCTAATAGCACATTCAATGATGGAAAGTATCACACTGTGACCATCATGAAGAGGAGAAAGAATGTGGAGTTGAGGATAGATGACGCCTATCAAGACGGAGGGGTTTTACCGTCGGCAGCTGTCGTGAGGGCGCCAGAGTTCGGTGGACTGTTCTTCGGAGGACTTACGGCACTCATCAATGACACCAGGATGATCGGCTCTGTGGTGCCACTCTATGGCGCTATCAAGGAGGCCATATTCAATGAGGAGATCATTCGATTCCAGGAGGCTGTTAGCTTCGATCACGCGCTTATTGGGAGGTCTGGACCCGTCATGGGGAGGGAGCCACCCAACTACATGCCTTCGGCGTCTTTGTCGAGGGGGGGAATGTCGACGCAGCCTGAAGGATGCCAAAAGGTAAGAATAAATCAGTGGTGAGGAGGTAGAATCAATTTTTATTTGGAAGCGATTGTTCCATTTCGATTTTTTTATTATGAACTGCAATTCCTCTGTATTGGTTTTTTATTATTAATCAGCCGATTTTTCTCCAACAATTGACTAATCTTTTGATGATCGATTCGATCGTTATCGATTATTCTAGATAATCGATCTTCATTCAACAATCGATTACCGTCTTGTTTATGTTTTAATTATGAAAAATAATGAATTTTGAACGTAATTAGTCATGGTTAATTGTCAAATGAAAATCGATTAATCGAAAATATCGAGAAATTAATAATTGGTTATCGATCAGAAATCGATTATGAAACGACCAATCCATCATTAATAAAACAGTTACTCGAAGAATAATCGAGGGAATAATCTACGATCGAAAAGAATCGTATAATCGAGGAGAATCGATTAATCGAACATAAAAAGACTATACCCGCAATTTCACGAAATGCAACCCGAAGAGATGATCAAATCGATGTCAAATAACTTGACAAAAAAAAAACTGAAAACATTAATGATTTTTTTTTTCCCCAAGGTCCCATACTACTCTCTGGAACCCGGAGCCCTGAAATTCGGTGACAAACAGCACAGTCATACCCAGCTATACCTCAATTTCAAAAAATTCTGGGAGAAAAAGTACACAATCGAGTTTGACTTCAGAACCTACTATCCCAACGGCCTATTATTCATCACCCCAGGGATCAAGCGAAAGCAGTATCTCATGGTGATCATCAAGGACTCCATGCTGAGTCTAATCGTGAAGAGCAAGCAGAAGAAGGAGATGGTGTTCAAGACACCGTTTAACGATGGTAATTGGCACCACGTGGTGATTGGCCACGAGGAGAGGAGATTGACCCTGGTGGTTGATGCACAGAGTCCCAGGGCTGTCAAGGTCCCCAAGAAGATTGGGTTGGAGTCCATGATGTATATTGGGGGATTGCCTGAAAGTGGAACACCCTTTCCTGATCAGGTGGTGGCTAAGTTGGAGACGCTGAAAGGGTGCATTAGAGGACTGAAGGTCAATGGGAATGTTTACGATATGGTGGGCTCTACCTCGAGGCCCTTCAACGTGGGCCAGTGCTTTCCCAGTGTCGAGAGTGGGGCATACTTCCAGGATGATTCTTTTGCTGTCTACAAGAGGGACTTTGAACTGGGGGCTGTGCTGGAGTTGCAGCTGGAATTCAGGACTTCTGAGTTGTTTGGGGTGCTATTGAGCATCTCAGCACCTGGTGGGAGTCCATCACTCTCCCTGGAGATCAACGCCGGTAAGATCGTGATGGCTGGGGACCCTGGGGACAGAAATCCCACGGTCGTGGAGCAGAGCTTTGGCAGCACATACACCATCTGCGATAATCGGTGGCACAAAATTCAGGCGGTTTACAACGAGGAGGAGCTGACTCTCAAAGTCGATGAACTTGACCAGAGGTTTGGACTGCCTGTTGGGGGGGATGGAAGCTTCCTCGCTGAAGCTGCTAGCTTTCCCTTGTTCATTGGGGGATTACCAGGTGAGAAGAATGGTGGAAATGATTAAGGCTTTATTTTTTTGAGTTAGAAGCTCTTTATTTATACAGTGAAGTACAAAATTCCTTTAGGGCTAAACAGAGGTTACAGATAATTTTAGAACAGAATGATTGGTGATGAAGATTGTCATTTTATTTTAACATTTCAACATTCCATTTTTAATTGGTCTTGTATTTGCAATATATTAGTCAGTGCATTGAAATTGACGGCAAGTTTATTAATAAAATTTAGATAATATTAACACCACTTGAATAGTCACAGTAATCGTATTGTTTTATTATTCAATTTCACTATGTTTTACATTCTTTTTAAATTCACTTGCTTGTGTAATACATTTATGCATTCAATTTTATTGTTTTTTTGTCTTCTTCGTTACAGCAACCGCGCCTAAAGGTACTCTACTCACTCGTGACCATTTCCACGGGTGCATACGAAACGTGATGATTGGTGGCGAAAGACGAGACTGGACGGACATGGCAGAGCTCCACAACATTCACCTGAGCTCCTGTCCAGTTCAATAAACCGTTGATTTATGGAAATTAAAGGGAATTTATTAAAGCACGTTAAGACTTGATCGAAGCCAAAAGAAGCTAAACCGTAACAAATCACTGTAAAGTATGTAATTAACGAATTGAGACTTGAGCTGGTGAAGTGAGGTTCATGTTCGTTTGAGGCCCTTACGGGCCCTCGGTATTCTCGAAACTCCAGAATGTTAATGTAAGACATTTTTACACTTTTGTCACTGCCATATTACGATAAATAATAATAATAGTTTAATTGTCCCACAACCCAGTTTATCCAACAATTGTACATCAGTATTTAACACTTTATTATTTATTTATCGATTATTATTATTATACAGAGGTAATTGAATAAATGATTTTTTTTTCTAAGTTATAAAAAATTGTGTTTTTAATTCGTTTCCTTGTAGAATTTTTCGATTAATCGATATACACGCGAGTATCGATTAGGCTTCCGATAATCGATTCTTTGTTTCTCGATTATTTTAGATAATCGATTCGTCAATTTTAGATTCATCATTATCGATAATCGATTATTCATAAATCGATTAATGTAACATTCGATAGTTCATGAATCAACCAACACAATAATTGATTAGTTAAAAATCGATTATCATAATAATCGATTGTTGCGTACAATCGATTTTCAAACGTGATTCGCTGGTAAGAATCTATTACATCGCGTTTTCAATTAATGATAATGGAAGAATCGATTATGTCACGCATTCGATTAATCGATTCTCATTCGATAATCGATTAACAAAAATAATTTCTTATCAAATACACTCAACTTATCGATTATTGATAAATCGATTAATGTAACAATCGATTGTCAAAAATGAAAGTTTGTACTGATTGCCAAACACAATCGATTATTTATAATTCGACCCATGTAAGAATCGATTATTTATAAATCAATCAACGTAATAGTCGGTTATTTATAAATCGACTAACGTAACAATCGATCGTTTATAAGTCGATTAACGTAATCGATTATTGCGTTAAATCGATTGCCAAAATCTGAAAATTGACGGTAATTATAAAAAATGAAAGTCTAATGAGCTAACTAATGAGGTAATGGGAATTTGGTTCTGGGAATAATGAAATAAAAACACAGAAACATTGGGTTATTGAGTTTTTATTGATGACATTCGTTTTCAAGACGCTAACAGTAAAATATGACCCAAAATTTTACTTGACTTAATAAATATATCATCGAGTAGTAGTTTCCATCTTTTTTGTCGTTTATATGTATATATAAAAACATAATATTTACAGACATGGGTAAATTGAAAAATTATCAACTCGACAGAGGTCACATTTCCATCCACTTTTTTTTTCTTCTCTTCATTTTCTCTATTGATGACGATAAAAATTAACGATTGCGTAACTGTAATTGGGTAATTGTTCATCTCTCCATTCAATTCTTTATTAATTAATTCTGTTATGCCTTTTATTTATTTATTTATCTATTTGTTAATTAGTAAGCGATTTACGGCAGCATTTTCATACACGCAACATCGCACTCGAACATTTATCACTCTCACAGTAATATTGTTTATTCATTCTGTTTAATTAGTTTTTCTTTAGGTTTTTTTAATTAATTGAAACATCTCTCATGCATCCTTCATGGTCTCTCGTTCTCTTTCGAAGTCCTGTGGCTTCCCAGAATTAATTGAAGTGTGTTAGTATCCTTCTTGATGGATTTTTATTGAAAAATATACACTTAAAGCTCTAGCAATCACTCTTCGAGGCTTGGGGATTCATTCAGGATTTTTCGAGAGCTTTCCAGCGTCATTTACTCCTTTCAATCTTAACTCTTCAACCCAATTATTTCAATTGCTCAGGAGAATAATTGTGGTTTCTGCCTTTCTAAGATACTTTCGAAACTTGTTGCAATTTCCATTTTAGACTCTTAACACTTGATGACTGCAATGGAAATTATTTTCATTCGAGGATTTTTCCATCAGGTCCTAGAGTGAAGATTCTCTTCGAGAAATAATTTTTTTCCGTCATTTATTGAAATTTTCAAAATGTTTTTCATTGAAATTTGAATTTAATCGGGAAAACGAAGTGATTTTATTCATTTTATTCTGTTAACAATGCAATTATTTCTGTAATTATCATTTCTAAGAGGAAACGTCGAGACATATTTTCCTTCAAAATCACTCATTAATGAAGTAATTACGGAATTAACGAAAAATTTAATCAGCCGTTTAACCATTCGTACGCAAAATTTCATTTGATTAAGTTCTAAATTGTTCGAGGGACTCTGGGACTTTTATCAATTTTTTATGGCATTCAAACGCACGTATATTGTCATATCGGACTATTTCAATTACTGAAATTGTTGAATTACATCTGTAATTCTTGTAACGTTTCTGATGAATTCTCTCGTCACACCTAAAAATTGTCCAGAGATAATTTTACTGACAGATAATTTGGTTTTATCATAAATTTTCAAACATTTTATTAATGAAATTCGACCAAAAATATTGAGATTTTTAAATCGATATGTCAGTTACATTCTTTTGTATTATTTTAAATAAATGTTAACTTCATTAACTTTTTGAAAATATGAGAATTTCACGAGAGAATTGGCTCGCCTATTTATGGCACAATAAATTAAATATCTTGGGTTTTACATACACAAGCCTGGAGACAATTCTCTCGTAATTAAATTCACGATTTTTTTGAGTAATTAACGCGTGGCTATTAATGTTGGGGAGTTTTTCGAAAGAATACTGTATGAAATACTGCCATCGTTAGAACCCAATCGTTTTTTCTTGTTCTGAGTAATTTTAATACTAAACTCAAGCAAACTTTTGAGAATATGAATTTTGTTAATGAAAGAGAATTGAGGATTTTTCGACAAATTTATTTAATTCTACATTCATTATCTCGTTGAAAGACCTCAGTCAAATTTCAAAATCGCAGAGACATTTATTTATCGTGCAGAGTTTACTAGTTCAGTTTTAGTATCAAAAAATAAAACCGAATTACGTTTTTAATTTTTTTCATCCATAGAGTTTTGATCTTTCTGATCAATAAAAAAATCAAAATCCAATTTTTCTAATTTTTTTCACAGTAAAAATGAAATAAACTCATTAGCACAATCAATGAAGGCACCAGCAAATTCGGAATTTCATTTAATCAAAATGTCCACGCATTTTATTCCAGAGAACTCATCAACGAAATGAATGAAGAAATACGAAACTTTACAAATCCAATTCCGTTCATAACAAAACTTGTAAAAAAAATGAAAAAGGAAAAAAAATGCATTGCATAAAAAACAAGTGGAAATTCAATGTGATTTCTCCTCCCTACATTCCACGTATAAAACAAAAATGAAGAATGGGGGGAAAAGCTAATGAATAATGATGCATCTCAACGCCCAGATTGACTTTAAGGCTTGATTTGGTATTCTCCCATTAATTTTTCAATCACTCCATCACTCAATTATTTACAAAACTACGTTTTTATGTCCATGAATTGTTCAACAAGCAAAAATCAGTTTTTCGAATCATTAATTATTTTTTTTTTTCAATTAGAGCCCCAACTGTCAACAGTTGAGAGCCAGAGGAAAATGTTCTGTCAATTAAAAACTGCAAATTCTAATGTATCAACAATTTTTCCCATCACTCCAAGCATTGGACATTAATTTAAAAAATGTTAATGACGTTCTCACGATCATTTTCCCATTGGAATCTGCAGTTTCAATCAATTACGACTGTTTTCAGTCCTCGTACGATATCAATTGGAAGCCAAAAATTCGCTTCGATTTTTATTAATTAAAAATTGAAATAGAAAAGATAATGAGAATGAGAATTACGAAGCTTATGTCTTGTTGTGTTAGCCTTCAATCAATGAATCATCGACATTTTAAATTCTTTTGACGATAACTTTAATGAGGAAAAACAATTCCATTAATCGCTCGATCGACACATGAGTATAAAAAATTAATAAAAAAACGAGAAAAAAAAATTTGATGATTTTTTTTGGGGGGAAGTTTCAGTGTGAACGATCGAAGAAAATGAAAATTGACTAATGAACAAACGTTGACTGTCGGTAATTAAACAGTGGGGTTTACTTTTTTGTATTAAAATATGATAACTATGAACAACAGAGGGGTTTTTGTTATTTGTGGGTGGTAATTGAGGGTAAAACTATATGACGAGGGCCATGTCCTTTTTGTTTGGTAGATTGTTCTTCTTTCCTTGCCAGAGGCTATTGTGTATCGTAAAGGCATCTATGGTCACTGTCAGATGCTTTGTATGGACTTGGGAGAAACATTTACCCCCAGAATTATATCTGCAATTATTATTAATAATTTTTTAAAAATACGACCAATTATTAGAAAACAATTAATTGAGTTTAATTAATTACTTTTGTAATAAATGGTTTTGCAATCGATATTCTTCCAATTAATGAAAGGAAAAAAATGTAATTTTTTCGCGAAAATTTTTCTCTCATTGAAATACTAAAATCGATTCTAAATCATTGACAGTCTTCATCAATTAATTTCATTAAGTATTAATTAGCAATTAAATCGGTAATTAATAAGATAAAAGTAATAATTAATGAATGAAGAGAATCTAATAAAGTTTTTTTAAGTTGAAAATTTTGAAATTGATGTCACATTTTCATTTTTACTCACTTGAAAAATTTGTCGAACATATTTTCAAGCACTTGTTTGGGCCCCGTTCCACAAAGTTTAGTAACCTCCTCTGTGTCCGGGCAGTATGAGTAAAGAGCACGAAATTGGCATCCAGCATCCCTGAAGAGAATGAGAAAATGTTTGCTCTCTGATCTTCCAATTTCATCCAAAACACGTCTTTTAGCGTCTCTGTTGACAGTCCCAGGGAATACACAGTATTCAACTGCATTCAGCATTATTCCACGATTGGATTTTGTGGTTGGTTGTTTATAAAGTCGAGGACCTGCAACAGCCATTAAAAAAAAAACTAATTACTCACTTCTCCATCTCAAAAATTCATCTCATGACAATTTTTAAAATGAATTCTAAATTATTTCTTTATAATTCTAAAATTAATCCACTAATTCATTCAATTAATTATGAATAAAATTCATAAATCTATTCTAATTCATCAAAAAATGATTGTTCAATCGAATGATTGATTAATTCATTCAATTAATTATGAATAAAATTCATAAATCGATTCTAATTTAATAAAGAATAATTGTTCAAGTATGAAAATATCCTGGGGCTTGTTAAATATCAATTAAATTAGTAAATTACCATTATATTCCATCATAGAACTAGCTGTGCTACTGATATCACTACTGCCATCATCGAATTTCCTCTTGGACATGAGACCAGGTGGCAGTGATCCTGGCCCTGAAGAAGGTGAATTCAAGTGTTTCGTACTTCCACCCATTCCAGGACTTGGCGCCCTCCTCGGTGGTGTTGCACGCCCCAAACCACTGTCAGTATCTGCCAAAAACACAAACGTGATTTATCAATTGATAATAATTCACCTCCAATCGGGAAGATAAATTATAAATGAAAATGAAACGAAAAATGGCAGAATTAATCATCGATAACCTTCTCCCAAGGACGAACAAGATGAGAGATCTATTTGTGACCCAAAACCTTTACCAAATTATAATTTAATTAGTGTGTGTTATTCTGAGTTTCTAGGTTGAATACATGATTATTAGTTTCTAATTAATTCGATGAGATTATTCTGTTTGTTTTGCAATTGTAGAGTGAGTGGATTGGTTTGCAAATATCTTGGAGAATAATAAGTGAAATTAATTTAATCGATTGGAATATTCCTCTAATTGATTAATTAAATCAATTAGTGCAATTAAAATGATGTTGATAAAATAATATTTGTCTACAGTTTTTCAATCACTCCTTCACCGCTCATTATCTCGGTAATGGGTGATTTTAGATAAAAATGTCAAAAGGCATTTTTTGCAGAGAATTTTAAAAGCTACAAAATTGTCTTGTGACATTTTTTTGGACAATCAACCGTCGAGGGGATAATTAACAAAATAACAATAATATCCACATGATTTTTATCTCACATTATTTTTACCATTGTGTTATTCTTAATTATCTCGATAATGAGTGAGTTTAGAAAAAAATTTCATATAAAACTTTTTGTAGAGCATTTCACAATCTACAAAAAGTTCTTATGACACTTCTCGATAACTCCAATAGTTTCCAAGATATTCGCAACTAAATCCCCCCCAAAATCTCAATCTCCCCACTCCATCACCAAAGTAACCATCTAATTAATCCACCGCTATTAATAATGAACCTGTAAACACAAATAAAAATGATTCTCCTACATCCACCGAATGTTCATGACTCTCGACATCGAGTGAAACGAGTAATGAAAGAAATTATAACCACATCCAGTTCGATTAATCTGAAAAATAGTTGAAAAAAAAAATAAAATAAAGTATCAGTTGCCACAACCAGTGCTGTACAAGCCCAACAAGCGTTGTCTATCGTCTAGTGAGTGAATGCCCTGGACGGTGTTAATCCCATCAACAAAACGTAAACAATCTCCTGCCACACAAATCGATTTTTAATTAAAAAAAAATTGTTTAAGTCGTGTTGACGAGACTTTTGTACGAGAAAAACGAAAAAATCGAGTGTTCCAGTGTCGAAAATCCCCTCCAGCCTGTCACCATGCGTCTAGTGTTCTAAATTCCTAATTAATCACCCTAAAATGAGCCATCAGTGAGCAATTGAACCGGATTAGACAACAAAAAGACAAATAAAACAGGCGAAATTAATGAATCAAGGACGTGGGATTTGATTTCTCTCTTTGAACAATTGTTATTCCCTCACAATTTCAATTGTGATTTTTTTTTTCGTGATTATCCTTACCACACAAATTCATCAACGAATTTGATTTTCTTCCTTTAAAGTTTTGGTAAGTCGGGTATTTTGTCCTGCCTCTAACCTGTTGCTGAGGCTCCTGCGTATCTGCAATATAATCCAACGTTTTTCGTTGTTACAAGCCTTCGAGGCCCATGAATTAATTAATGTGAAGTTATTTATTGGTTTTTGGTTGAACGAGGATAATGCAAAGTCATTTTTGCAGTTTTTTTTTTCGATGATTGTGGGCTCTAGCTACTTGTTCTTCATTGGGGCATTATCAACTGACAGTCAATTGTGGAATTAATTAATTGATTAATGGTAATTTCAATGTAGCCGGTGCAGCTTGGTGCGGAGCAACGTTGCAATCAACTGGAAATTCTACGTCAAATGCTCTACTTTTTCAACTCAATTCTATTGATTTTTCTCAACTTTAAAAATCACTAAAAATTTATTTTAACAATAATTGAGGGTGAAAAGATGACTTTGAGGTTTCATTTAGCTTTAGAAAGATCAGAAATTGAACTAATGGAATTGAAATGATGAAATTAATTTAGGACAATTGTCGTTTCAGTGATTTCTCAAGTAAAAAAAAATCTTTCAATTATTTTCGTGTGAAGTTCTTCAACTTTAAAAAAACTCTGAAAATTAGTTTCAACAATATACTAATTAAAGATGATTGTTTGGAGGTGAAAAAATGATTTTTAAGAATTCATTTAGCTTTGAAAACGTCAGAAATTGATTAAACAGAATAGAAATGATAGAATGAGTTCCCTGAAGTTATTATTTCAGTGATTTTTCAAGTCAAAAAAATTTTTCAATAATTTTCATGAAACTTTTCAACTTTGAAAATCACTAAAAATTCAATTTAACAATACAATAATTGAAAATTATTATTCCAAGGTAGGAAGTGGATTTTAACAATGCATTTGGCTCTGAAAACGTCAGAGATTGAATTAATGAAATTGACAAGATGTAATTAATTCATTGAAATTGTTGTTTTAGTGATTCTCAAACTAAAAAAAAGCCTTTCAAAAAATTTCTTGGGATGTCTCGTGAGTGTACAACCAAACGTAATTTAGCAATCATGAGGTACGTGAAAATGCTCTGCCACTGACATAATCACCAAGAAATACCAGTAATTCTCACGATTAAAAATCGATAAACACTGAATATCTATCACCCACCTCTCGATGTCTTGTAGGAGCCCCTCCGTCCCAGTTGAGTGGTACTACGACACGGTGAACAACCTCTACCATCGTCTGGCGAATCTACGGAAGATACTAAAATAAAAGGGCAAAGACTATTACAAATTTCTTCGACAATTTACTGGAATTTTTTAAATCGCTATTTTTAGGCTAAAGCTATTCCTGGAGTATCGGGGGAAGTTTTAGGAGTAGAAGTGCATGCTACATTGAGAATTAATGAGTTTAGATGTTGTTGAGTGGAATAAAACGTGAATCTCAACGAAAATTAACTAATTCATCTAATTTACTTCGAATTTTGCAAAATTGAAAAAATTAATTTTTCAGATAAAAAACCTTTGACGTTTTTTCATTTGTAAAATACTATTTTCATTCTTATTAGAACTATTCGTTAATAATTATCATCTTGGAGACATGAAACATTGATAAAATATAATTTAAATAGTTTCAATGAAAAGAATTCCTATTCTCATTTTCATTTAATAATTCATTGAAATATTCGTTGGGACAAAAAATTCCATTTCATATGTATTCAAATAGTGAAATAATGAAATGAAATAGTATTTATATTTGATCCTCACAGATAATCGCCAAAACGTCGAATTTAACTTTAAAAAAATGGCTTTTCCACTCAACTAAAAAAAATTGAGAGAAAAAAACAAAAACCTGTTTCGTTTTTTTTTTTGTGAGTGATAGAGTGCGTGTAGTGCGTACCCTTGAGACTGCCGCCCCTATAGAAGGGCCCTGAGCGCCGGTCATCGTAATGGGCGGCAATGAGAGTGTCCTGCGAGCCTCTGAAGTAATCTCGCTTCATTGTTGGTGAGATCAGCGTCGCTACATTAAGTGTGTTAGTGCAAAAAAAATAGTACAACATAAAATAAGGGAACACAAAACAATCGACTCAGGTATCTCTAGCCAAACAATTCCCCTGGACCAGTTGTAATTACATTGGCGAGAGTATCTGGAGGTCGAGGGGTTGTGAAAGAGTTTTTTTTTATAATTTTGGAAAAATAATACACAAAAGTTGTTGGAGATGTACTTTGGATACTTTTTGGTCATCAAACTGGCCATGCAGAGAGCAAATGCAACATTGAAAACGTGAATTACATTTTGCAGTTGTAAAATGTTGAAGAGAATTTGTTGATTCATGTGGAAATTAATTGAATAAAAAATCAATGAATAATTGTTTAATTAAAAGTATCGAGTATTTCATTGAATTTCCATGATGAAATCAACATTTGGAAGGGAAAATGCAACATTGAGAACGTAATTTACATTTTGTTGTTCTAGAATGTTGAAGAGAATTTGTTGATTCATGTGGAAATTAATTGAGTAAAAAATGCAGAATTATTCTTGATGAATTTCGTGAATATCTCTAAAACTATTGGATTTAGAGAAAAATGTCATACGAACTTTGTGTGGGGAATTTAATTCTCTGGAAAAAATGTCATGTGAAATTTTTCTCTAAATCTAGTAGTTTCATAGATATTCGCAATCTTGTCTGGAAGAAATCCCTCTCAACGACTGATTGAACGATTAATTATTATTTAATTGCAGATATAAATTATTTAATTGAATTTTCACGATGAAATCAACATTCGGAGGGGCAAGGAGGAAGGCGATAGTGACCCTAAATGTTCTTACCTGTACTGAGATTTGAGGAAGATCCCTTCTTCCCACGACTAGGCGTCAGTGTACCAGAATCTAATTCCGAGTGATCAACGGCTATTGTTTTCGGTCGCGGTCTAGCCGATGTTGCAGTCTTACTACGTAACTTTGGGGTTTGTTTTATGGCATTTAGAACTTCCTTGTCAAGGACCTTTCCCTATAATCGACGAAAAATTCAACGAAAAATCAATTAATTTCACGAAAACTTAGTAAAAAATATTCTACCAAAACCCAAGGCATTACGACGCATTTGCAAAGTGAATAATTCCATTTTTGTTTGTCAAATAAATAAAAATGAATCATTCCCTCCCTTAAAATGCAAATATCTCCTAAAAGGAAGGGCTCAAATGAAAAATCACAAAAATCCATTTTTGAAGAGAATTAAATTTTCCACAAAAAACATTTCTGTCATTTTTCTCCAAGTCCAATAAATCTCTAGATATTTACAAAATAATCCGTAAACATTTTCAGACGACTGAAATAATTATTTAAAATTTACAGTAATCGATCGTTTGATGTATTCATTAAATTTTCAAAGAATTCCCAGTAAAATCGTCGAATAAAATGAAGAATGAAACCGGAAAATCTGAAATTCATTCAATACGACTAGAATAACGATGAAAAATCTCAATAATCACCTCACGCTCAGCCTCCTCCTTCAGCTTTTTCAGCTTGTACTGCTCGAGAATAGCAGCTCGTCTCTGCCTATCGTCCTCCTTCTTCCGGGCCCTCTCCTCCTCCTTCATTTTCTCCCTCTCTCGTTTAGCGAGTGCCTCAGCCTCTTTCCTCTCCTTCAATTCCCCCTGCTGCTGGCGCCTCTGTAGAGACGCCAGCATAAATTGCTTCTTCTTCTTCTCCATTTCGTCCAGAGAATTGGGATCTGGATTAGCCAGTTCATTTCCAATGATCAGCCCAACCCCAGTGGGACGAGTCTCACCCGTGCGCTGTCTGTCCTCTCTCTGTCTCTCTTTGTCAATCTCCCTTTGGAGCTCTCGATCCCTCAATTCCTGGCGCTGCTGTTCACGTTCCTCTGCTTGACGTTGACGCTCACGTTCGAGATCTCTCTGGATCTCCATGTGCCTCTGACGATCTATGGGATTCACTGGTGGGGAGTCAGGGCGCGCTGAGAAGTCCTCGTGTTCGATGAATGAGGAAACGGTTCTTTCCTGAATTGAAAAAAGGAAAAAAAAATTCAGATTAAGAATAACAATAACATTATTTCAAATTTTAACAATAATATTAACATTATTTCAATTTAATAACATTCTTAAATAATAATAATAATAATAATAATAATAACATTATTTCAAATTTTTTTAATTCTTTAAAATGTCGAAGAATTATTTTTAAATCATGAAAAATTGAAATTTCACTTTAATTTTTTTACACACAATATTTCAATATAAAAATATTGAGAAAACATTAATTTAGAGATTTTTCAAGATACAGACCACGACAAATTTATCAATAATATTCAGCGTCATTTAAATTACATTTTGCACTGAATTACTATTTTTGTTAAACATGTTGTTTATAAATAAATCATTGAAATTGTTTAAACTTTCGGAAACCTAATTTTTTTAATGGTGCAAAATGGATTCCACTAATTTTAAAAATTTTCAAAGCAAAAGTTGAAGACAAATGTTTTTTCAATCAGGATTTAGCGAAAAATGTCATCAACTTTTTTTCATTTCTTAAAATTGAGCATAAAAACATCTGAAATTTACCTTTTTAGGTGATCTCTTGACCCTCAACGCAGGTTTTGGTTTCTTAGGTCCATCATTATCAAACGAGATGTAAAATCCTTTTTCCCCAGCATCGGCAGGATCCAGGGGAGTGATCTCAGGTGTAGCTGAGGGAGATGGCGATGCCTCGCGCAGTGAACTGTGAGGTTGAAATGAATTGCGTGAGGGCGTCGTCTTCGTGGGTGAGGATATTCTGTATGTTCTACTGCCCGACGTGATGTGCAGTCTGGGAATTCGTTGTGCGAGATCATCGTCATTTCCAATGAATGATATATTTTGGGGCTCCATGTCGTCCATCGGTGGTGCCGGTACTGGTGTGTGCAATGGGGCATTGTTGAGACGCTTCTCCGTTGGACTTTCACAGGTCATCGGGATGTGGTGGATTATCGGTTTCTTCGGCTCGGGACTCTCACCCATCAGTTGACTTATCCGATGCACCTAAAATTCAAATAAATTCAAATTTTAGACACAATTTTATCGTAAATTAATATTAAAATGAATTTGAAAATGACTTCACCCATTTTTTCAACATTTTAGAGTTTTGGAAAACTCTTTGATGGATTATTTTATAATTTTTTAACAGTGCAAGTCTCGAATAAATTTTTTTGAAAATTTTTTGACAACACAAACTCTTTCAATGAATTATCAAGTTTAGTTTTTTGACTTTTTAACGCCGCAATGTTTAATTTTAAGTTTACAAAAAAATCACAGCTGATTTATGTTCCATCTCCCATCTTATAAACATTTTAAAATCTTAAACATCCATTTATACTTTTATACCAAAAAATAACAAATATTTAATCATTTTTAAGATCAAAAGTGTTGAAAAAAAAATTTTAATGACTTTTTAACACAATAAATTCTTTAAAAAACATTCAATATTTTTCCCCATCACTTTCTGTAGTCCACAATTGTCATTATCAATCAATTCTCATAAAACTGAAGTCAAATAAAATGGTTTAAGAATTTTTCGACACCAAAAAGTCAATTTTTCCACTTTTAAAATTTCAAGGTGTTGGTTTTCAGTTTTAAAAAATCACATCTGACGTGTGAAATGTTCCCAGTGCAACAAACCTCATCCGAGTAACTGAAATTACTCCTCGTAGTAATGGCAGAATAAAACATGTGCATTTTATTAAGATTATGTGGATTTAAAACATTAAATCGTTGAGTCAGTGGGTCGAGACCAACTGTAGGTGTTCTCCTGGTCAGGTAAAAGTATTCAAAACCCCGTGTGGGAAGATCCCTCCCATCTTGGGCACCACTGGCGTATGATATTAAAATGGTGAATTACATCACCAACTGGTTTACAACGATGACTCTGTGTGCTCAGAGTCGACAATGAAAATGAGAAATTCGTTTTTTCTTCGTTAATGAGTAAAAAAAACTATTTTTTATCTGTCTTCACGTATTTATGATGTTTAGGTGGGTGTAGGCAATGCAAATGGATATAAAAATCATCAAAACATCCATTTCAAGAATTTAAGGAATGGAAAACGCTAGAATTAGTTTCTTCAACTCTGAAAATTTATTAATGAATAATTACTTTTGGCTTTTTTAGATTAAAAAAAAGTATTAGTAGCTTATTTAATTTTTTTAAATGATTAAAATGATATTTTCAGGATTTTTAAATGCAAAAAGAATTGTTTCAGATTTTTCTTACTTTTAAAATGATCAAAGTGATGTTATTAATTGAAATTCAGTAATGAGTAACTATTTTCATATTTATAAATTTTTAAACAAATTAATTTCGAGGATTTTTAGATGAAAAAATATTCTTTTCAACATTTTCAACTTTTTAAAATGATAAAAAACATAGTTAAAATTCATAAAAATTGAAATTTCCACTAAAATTGTATTTGCACAATACATTTACAGATAAAAGACAACAAAAAAAATTATTCCAAAGGTTAACCCCTTCAAAAATAATTTTCAAAATTCTAAAACCCCTAAAATGTCAACAATCACATGAGAAAAAATTACGAAAAATCAATAAAATCACTTACAGCATTTCGATGCTGAGGACTAGCAGATGCAGGTGGTGTTTGTGTAAACAAATTCGATGGTTGAGGATAATTAGCCGGTGAATGATGAATCTGACTGTTGATGAGGCTGTGATCACCGCCGTTGTGGTACCTCTGCTCCTGAGAGGTATCATGGAGGACAAAACCCTTCTGCTGGGGTGAAGGGGCACCCCAGGTCCTCGTGTCATGGTACAATCTTGAATCCTGCTGGTAAACAGGGGGTTGAGGACTGTATCTGGGGTCCATGGGCTGTTGGTAGCTCACAGCTGCCATTTCATTGGCTAAATTCTGCTGTGGCCTTGCCCACGTTCTTCTCTGAATCTGGGGCTGATCGTGCAGATAAAATTGACCCTGTTGAGGGTCTTGGATTCTTGGAGTCATGGGATTTATCGGAGGCATTCCGTAACTCTGAAAATTTTACAAATTAACATTCATTTTCAATTTAATTGAATTGAGAATAATTCAAACAATTTAATTAATTGTTGCAGGAAAATAATTTCCCCTCTGATAATGAAAGTAACAATTCTCGCAGTAAAGTATTTGATTGATCTTACTGTCATGTGTTGCTGATTATAACTTTGCAATTGTTGAAATTGCTGTTGCATCTGCTGCTGCTGCTGATTAATAAAATGCTGTTGTTGTATCTGAGTCTGTTGATTAGCGAGTCTCTGAATGTCGGCGTGAATTTCACTGAGACTGCTGTTCATTCTGTGCCAGAAGGGTCGAGAGAAGAGTCAGGAATAATAGGTGAGTCAAAACGAGACGATTCTCTTCATTAAAAAGAAACAAAAATTATAACTCACTGAGTGATGGACTGGTGGTACTGCTCGAGATCCATATTCTCAAGGTCTGGGGTGCGACGTGTCTCGATGAAGGGCACTGTACTGCCATCATGCTCCAGCCACTTGTGCTCAACATCTCTGACGTCCTCCCTTATTTCCTGAATTGAGAGAACACAAGGTTGAATAAAAGAAAAATTAATTCTGCATTACTCAGGTCTTAATCTCGGTGTTTGTTCCCGATTATCTCCAAAACTATTGGTTTTACGAAAAAATATCATACGACAATTTTTCTAGGAAATTTCTTCAGCTACAAAAAACGTTTTATGACATTTTTTCGTAAAACCACTCGTTAACGAGATAAATTAGAAAATAACGACACACGTCATGTTGACACTAGTTTTCCTGCTGTTCTGCATAATTCCGCAATTACCTCGTTAACGAGTCATTTTAGAAGAAAATGTCATAAGAACTTTTTTGTAGAGAGTTAAATTTGCCACAATAAACGTATTTGACATTTTCTCGTGAAATCACCCGGTATCGAGATACAACAGTTCTTGCGAGGAAAGAAATAACTTTGACCTAGAAAATCTGTCACTCTCAGTTTTCGTCAATTTCGATCTCATTTTCACACTGATGCACTCGATATCCTCAACTAATTTCTCTTCCGAACTGTCCTGACTCTCCGCTGTGAGATAATCGAGGACCGAGCAGTTTCCTGAATCCAGGGAACATGTTGATCCGTAAATCGATTCGATAGACTCGCGAGATTCATCTCTAGTTGGTATTTCAGAGGTGTAGACGTATCTCACTGGTCCTGGGGGTCTGAGGCTCATGCAGCACTCAATCGCACGTGTGTGAAGCTTTTTCGGAATTAGGGACATGAATATATTCATTATCACGTCGAAAACTGCATTGAACATTTTTTAAAAAGTCCAATTTATCCAAAAATAATCATCAATTAATTTAAATTGATTGAGAAATTGTTGAATCCATTGAAAACAGAGAATTTTGACAATTTTTTGCTCCACAAAATTCACAAAAACCGAAAAAATTAACGAAAGGAACTTCTTTCAAACAGATTTTCATTTTTTTTTTTGCTTAATTAATGACACACTTCATGGAATTGGGTCATTCGTGAAGGAAATTCAATAAATCTGATCAAAAAGATTATTTTATCGAGTTAAAATTACCTGGTGTGAAAAATTGAAGTTAATTAATTAATTATGATTAATAAAAATTAAAAGTGAATCTCTGATTGAGCTGTATCTCCAACAGTTCGAAATACTCTGAAACGCCGTCAACATCTAGGATAAAATCCAAGTGTACGTCCGCATTTATCTATTTTCTGTTTGATCAATATCGTATCTCGTTTGCCTCCAGCACTCCACATTGATATTCACAAAAAAAATATATTCGATAATACAATTTTACTGTGACACGTAAAAAAACTGAGAGCCTAGTACCAACACTGCAGACTTAAATTGCAGAGAATTCTGAGGTTTAGGGATCAGATATTTCCAGTGAAACACTCAATCACTGTTTATTTATGCATTTATCTCCTAAACAAATGCATTTACGCCAAAATATCATAAGAAATTTTTTGTAGGAAATTTCATTCTCTACAAAAAAGGTCCTGAGACATTATCCTCTAAAAATACTCATTATGAAGATAATTGGACAGTTAAAAAAAATAAAAAACCTGAAAGACGCGAATGGTTTTTTTTAATGAAGTTCATCTTCTAAACAAATAGTTCTGGGACAAAATGGCAAAGGCCTTTTTTGTGGAAAATTGGACAAAATCTCTCATTACCTCTCATTAAAATGATAAAATTCCACAAAATTCCCGAAAAAAAGGGACAAACCCATTGAATGTCTGCATATTTCAGGTTTTATCTCCTTAACAATTGATTTTAGGAGGAAAAGTCATAAAAACTTTTTTGTAGCTGACGAAATTTCCCACAAAAAATGTCTTATGACAAATTCACCTAGACTCACTCATTACCGCGATAATTATATAATTATGAATATGAATAATTTCAACGAAGCGAATAAGTAAGCCGCATGCCTAAAAATTAATCTTTCCAACTAAAAAATCAATAAAAAACAATGTCACAGGGAAAAATAATTCTGCGAGAAACATAAAGACACCTGCCATGATAAAAATTCAATGATACCTTGAGTGTGAAAGGGCGCTGGGGTTTGTCTTGTACATTTTGATGTGCAGTAGACTCGTTACACGCTGTAGTATCACCTGATGACCCTGAGGTCATTGGAGTGGGGGGACCATGCTCCACGGGACTGTCACCGCCTGATGCCGATGACGAGGGTGATTTAACCTTACCCTGCAACCAGCCCAACCACCAAATGTGCCTTGTTAGGTACACCAGAGTCCATCACCCCATTCCAAGTTCAAATAATTTAACACACAAAGCTTATAATAACTTAGTTAATCATGCAGACTAGCAGTATAAATAATTTCTACTATTTTCTAGGGCTATTTGTTGTAAAAATAGATGAAACCACAATAAAAGATCAATTTTAGCTGAAAAAAAAATAAATAAAACGTGCATTTGTCACAGATAAATTGACGAAAAAATACATTTCAGGGTTCAAATAGCCTCAGGTGGAACTAATTATCGTCATGCCAGTACTTTTTCTCCAATTTTTACAACTAAAAAATCCCAAAATGTAGTTTTAATGGTAGAAAGTGCATTCGTGATTTTTTTTTTTTCAATTCTCAAAGAAATGGATCATGATTTTTTTATTTTTGTTCATGTTCTTGTGAATTTAAATGATTGTGCAATTACATGCACTCACCCCTATGCACAGCTGAAAGATTAGAAAGAGTAGTTGAGTTACAACGAGTGTACACAGAAGAAATAATAGAAATACTGCTACTGAGTTAAAAAAAAAGAGTAATATGTTTTCTAGAGATTTTCTTCGAGAGGTAGATTAATTAGTTAGTTAAGTGATTAATTAACTACAGTTGATTAGACTGGTGGCACTGACCTTCGTCACTGTCTGGAGAAAAGCAGCTTTCCCCACTTGTTCCCTCTGCTTCGAGGCTTTCGCCTCCATTCTGCGTTTTTCCGTCTCTATCTGTCGACGTTTCTCCTCCAATTGCATTCGAATGTTGTTTAATTGGGCTGCTATTACGATATTACTTCCATCTCCATCTTTATGAAACAAAAATCGGAACAATGGTTGAAATTTCGAGGACTTCATAGAATTTTTAAATGCATTTTGATGAATCAACAAAGTTATGTTAAAAAAATTGATTTATTATTTACAAATTAATTCACGAATAACAAATATAGTTTTTTTATTCTTCAATTGTTAATTAAAAATAGCTTTTATATGCATTTGCAAATATTTTAGGAAGGAATAGGCATTAAAATTCAATCAATTGACCTTTTCTATTGAAAATTCAATTATCTAAAAAAAAAAATATCTTCAATATGTTCCTCTAAACCCATTAATTTTCAATATATTTCGAAGATGCTCTTCCCCAAATTTTTAATTTCATCCCCTCCCCCCCCCCAATCTCACTCAAATTTTTTTAAAATAATTTAATTAAATTAATTCCCAAAAACCAAATTAAAAAAAAAAACTTACCACTAGAATGTGGCTCTGTCTGTTGGCTCTGCAGACTGCTCTGCTGTTGCCACGTTGTTGTATTTGGTAAAGTAGCAAAAGTCGTCTTCTTCTCCCCAATTCCATTGCCATTACTCTGTCCATGCTTTTTACTGACAAAATTCCCCCTCATCCCCACATCGTCGCGCTCCTGCTGCTCTCCATAATTAAAATTAATTCCCTTCTCCGAACTCTGTCTACTCAAATTAGCAAAACTCGCCATTTTCGTTGATTCAACGTCGATTTGTTCATTATCACTGGAATGTAGAAGGTTCTTTAGTGCTACGTTATTGAGACTTGAGTTGGATGCTTGTCGCCTGAGACGAGGGGTTGGCTCGTTGTTGCTGTAGCCATTGTCAGCTAAAATGTGTTGGACATCGCTTCCATAAACATCTTGGACACTTGAACGCACTGGGAGATTTGGCTCGGGGACTGATCGCTTTCCTGCGTGCACTAGCTCTTTGTCCGGATTTCTTACACATCCAAAATTGTGCAAATTGTCCTGGAAGATAATTTTTTTCATTAAATCATTAATTATTCAGTAAATTATTCAATTAAATAACCTACAGAATTAAATTATTCGACTTTAGTTTGATATATATTCTGTTTTTATTGAATAATAATGCAAAAATGTGTTGATTGGATGCGAAATTGTGTTCTATTAGACTATTGATGATTAATTAATTCAATTATTCCGCATATTAATTCATACATTATTTTTATTGAATGAAAATGTGAAAAAGCATTGGTCGAAAGTCAAATTTTTCTGCAAATTGTGAGAATTGTCCAAGCATACTTTTTTTTACTGAATTATTTTCCATGAAATAATTTAATCAAGTCAAAATTAAGTAAAATCATGCAGTTGAATGATTTGAAATGAATTGATTAAATTGTTTGTTTTATGTTCTTCAATTACCTGAGATCCACCAAAATTTTCAATAGTCAATTGAGAATCGTCAGTGACACTGTTGCGTCTAGATCTCCTCCCAGCGTAAGAGCTCCTCCTCTGGTCCTCCCAATTGCTAGGCCGTCCAGCAGCCTCTGCCTTCACCATCTTCTCGTCACTCACTGAACTCAATGTTGGGATTCCCCTGTTTCGATGGACTACAAAACTCTCTTCAGATGTGCCTCTCCTGAAATAATAAAAACTCTCTCAATCCCTGTTTCAATTTTTTAAATCTCATTGTTAATTTTATTTTAATTTGCATCATCATTTTTTTTCATTGTTAAATAATCCAGGGGTTCTCATCTTAATGAATTCTTAACGAATTTTTTCATGATTACCTATCGTCATAGGAGTGAGCCTCAGCAGTCTGCTGCATTGACTGTGATTTTTTAACGAAACTCATGGTCGTTGGCTTTGCAACTGCAAACAAAAAACACATTGAATTAATAAAAATTCACAGCCATTTCTCCCCTTCCAACAATGAATAGTACACAAGCTCTACATTCTCTATGCACTAATGGTAAACACAGAGTGTAAAAAAAATCTGAAAATGACAAAAAACATCATGATAAACGATAAATAAAATAAATAAAATCGAAATATGAATGACAAGATAAATGATAAAAATCAGAATGATTTACATAGCAAACAATACCAACGAACTAAAGGTGGATCTGCCATGATTGACGAGGTTTTGCTCAGCAGGTCAGTGAATACAATGTTTACATAATCATCGTGCTTAAATTAATGTGAATGCAAGCCTCAAATTAATCTCATTCGCCAGTGATAAGTCGAGGGATAAGTATGGGAATGTTAATTTGTTATGATTATACATGTCAACTCTCACACCATGCATTCACTCCCATCTTTCCACAATTTTTTCAACCTCAGTTTAATGAAGAAATCCTAGAAAAAATAAAAAACTCGTGCTCTCGATGTTTTTACCAATAAAAAATGACTTTTAAATTTTTTTACATGAGTTTTAAAAAATTTGTAAGCTTTACTTCGTAGATATCTCGTCAACTATTGGGTTTAGAGAAAAATGTAAAAAAAAAAAATTTGTGGAGAATTAAATTTCCCACAGAACTTGTCTGTGACATTTTTCTCTAAACCTGATAGATTCCGAGGTATCACAAAATAATCTGCAAACAAATTTTATTCTTCACTCAATTACTGTTAATTACTCTCCCATAAATTAATTAATGACACAAATGAACGAGCACATGATGAAAAACCACCACAAAATACCCACATAATGAACATAATAAATTCGCTCAATGAATCAACCAAAAGCCACATTATCCTGAATCATCAGGTTTTATTCATTTCTCTTTTGACGCTTCACATCTCTCTCCTTGATTTAACAATTGGATACCTGTGAAGCCTGGCGCGGAAATGGAGAGGTTGCTTCTCAGATCAGGTATTGGCGCTATAGACTGTGGTAGACTTCTTTTATGTGCTACCCCGTGACTATTACGTGGGCAAGCTGCACGTAGTTCAACACAACCAACCCCATTGGTATTCAGGGATGAATAGAAGTAGGCGAATAGCGGCGGTTGATTTTGTTCAAGCATCAAGAAGATTTAGGCCATAGAAATACAGGCAATTATTACGTATTTTATAAATTATTCGTCTTTTCGAATTCTTTTTCTTTTTTAGATTATTCTCTCCATTTTTCAGGATTAATCAAGCAATCCAATCCCCCAATTATTCAATTTTTGACTATTAATTATATATTTTTCCTCCCATTTCGCATTTAACTTGATTAATCAAATAGAGAAGTACGAATAATTGAAGGAAAAAATTATTCATCCGATTATTTCCGCTGTTATCTCCGCAGGGAAGGGATTTTAGAGAAAATGTCATAAAACATTTTTTGTAGAAAATTTCCTCAACCATAAATATGTTCTTGTGATATTTTTCGATAAATCTGTCAGTTCCAGAGATATTCACGAAATACTCCGGATGAAATTTTTGCCAATCTCGTTTCTCTTTTACTTTTCCACAGAATGAACTAATTCAATGAAAATAACACCCAAAAATTATTTCCTAGTGTACTTATAATAGTAACAAGGGAAAATAGTCCGTGAGACGATCGACAGATTGTACTGACACTGATAAAAAGCGTGATACCATTACAATTGTGAGTAAAAAAATCACTTTTCAATCGTGAAAAGAATAAAAACGCCAACGAGACGCATGACTGACTCCCATAAAAATTCATAATCACCTAAAATCCATTTTCCCTCACAATAGTAATGGATCTTCGTGAATAACTCAAATAAATTATTAATTAAACGATTATAATCACTTTATAGTGTTTCATCATAAAAACTAAAAGTTGTGCGTAGCCTTCACCGATCAGTAAAATTAATCCCTTCACCATAGACAGACCCAAATACTTGATAATTAATCTTAATAACATCACACCCATGTAGGGTATCAAGGTCGGTGTGGACAACGCAAGATTAAACGTAAAATCATCGAGTGATTGAAACAAGGATTTTCGGTTAAAATACTTATCTCGTAATTGTACATACCATCGAGATACTGGCTGGCCCGTTCTTCCCCGGGATAACGTACACATTTCACTGGATGAATCTCCAGAACGTTGTACATGTCAGCGAGAAAGACAACAAGATTTTGTTTCATTGATCTAAAAAGAAGAGAATAACACACACGAGAAATTAGCGGGAGAAAATTAATTTCGAACTATTCGTGCTTATATCTTCTAAACTAGTGATTTTAGGAGGAAATGTCATATGAGATCTTTTATAGAGAATTTCCTCATCCCCAAAAAATGTTCTATGACTTTTCTCTCTAGAATCACTCGTTTCGGAGATAAATACGAAAATATAAAACACTGCATGCTTCGTTCCAACGAAAGATGTAGAAGAGAAGGTAAAAGAGGCCATATTCAATCGTAAATATCTCCCGACCAAACGACGCGATTTGGACGAGTTACATCGCATCTTAAAGATTGATAAAAAATCTTGAAAATGAAGAAAAAATAGGGAAATTCCACTCAGCCATTCCTGAGTTATTCACCACTAAACTAGGTTCGTTTTACACAACTCTCTTTTTTCAATGCATCTATCATTCCCATCCACTATTAATCTATTCGATTAATGAATGATGAGAATTGGATTGAACAATCTCTAATTAAATATGAATTTACCGCATAATAAGTCATAATTACCCTCTCATGTAGGTGACATCCTCCGGTTGCATATGAAAAATTGAGAAAGGTAGACACCTCACGCAGAAGGCATGCACCAACGAGAGATTATGAAGTGCATCAGCAACGGACGGCCTCTTGGAGACCCTGATGTCCATCCAATTGAGTTCCCCAGGGCAGTAGAATGCGACAACAGCAGCTAGGCCAACGCCATCGCACAACGACTGAAAGTCCTTGGCTGGTGGCAGTTCAGGGAGTTTCGTCTTGTCCCCCTGGCCCTCCTCAGCCTGAATTTTGGCGATCAACGCATGTGAGGCATGACTTATCCACAGGAGGAGACCCTTCTCGTGGTCCGGTGGCACATCCACCAGAGCCTGAGGGTCGAATCGACGAATTGCTGCTGCAACACGATCCCCAGTCACCACTTCCTTCGCGTACAAAACCATCAGACCCTCTATCACAGCCATATGTGCAGACATTTTGAGGGGCGAGTTCTGAATGAGAATGGTCTCGGTGAGGGGTGTGTTGTTGGGCTCGTTGACAAAGACACCCTTGCGAGCCAGTGCCTGGAGAATGCCCAGGTGATTCTGGTTGTGGTAATTGGGGTCCGAGTAGATGTTGGCCAGAGCCAGACAGTACAGCTCGGCATTTGATAGAGAGTGGACTATCTGGGGTTTCAAGTGCTCCTGATCCTGAAACCAATGTATTTATGCAATATTCATTTATGTATTCGTTTATTGTTAAATGAATGACGACAGAATGATATTTAACTTCATCTTGTTGCAAAATATTTTTGCCCCAGAAATGCAGAAATAAAAAAATTTTTTCTCTTCACCCCAAGCCAAAGTGCCATTTAGGCTTTTTCGGGAGGAAAGTCGACTTTCGCCAAAATTGAATTTTTCCGCCGAGTAAAAGCTGATTCTGTATTTTCTGGCCCGCCTAATGCCACTGCGCCCCTCACTTGCCCCAAAAATGCAGAAATAAAAAATTTTTTTTTTTGCACCCGAAGCCAAAGTGCCATATTTAGGCTTTTTTCGGGAGGAAAATCGATTTTCGCCAAAATGGAATTTTTTCGCCGAGTGAACGTCAATTCTGTATTTTCTGGTCCACCTAATGCCACTGCGCCCCAGAAATGCAGAAATAAAAAAAATTTATTTCTTCACCCCAAGCCAAAGGACCATATTTAGGCTTTTTTCCCAAGAAAACATCATGACAAACGATAAATAGAATAAAGAAAATCGAAATATGAATGACAAGATAAATGATAAAAATCAGAATGATTTACGCAGCAAACAATACCAACGAACTAAAGGTGGATCTGCCATGATTGACGAGGTTTTGCTCAGTAGATCAGTGAATACAATGTTTACATAATCATCGTGCTTGAATTAATGTGAATGCAACCCTCAAATTAATCTCATTCGCCAGTGATAAGTCGAGGAATAAGAGTGGGAATGTCAATTTTTTATGATTATACATGTCAACTCTCACACCATGCATTCACTCCTATCTTTCCACAATTTTTTCAACTTCAGTTTAATAAAGAAATCCTAGAAAAAATTGAAAACTCGTACTCTCGATGTTTTTACCAATAAAAAATGACTTTGAAATTTTTTTACATGACTTTTGAAAAAATTGTAAGCTTCATTTCGTAGATATCTCGTTAACTATTAGGTTTAGAAAAAAATGTCAGAAATTTTTGTGGAGAATTATATTTCCCACAAAAAGTTTCTTATGACATTTTTCTGTAAACCCCACAATTTTCGAGATAATCACAAAATAATCTGTGAACAAATTACATTATTCTTTCAATTACTGTTAATTAGCCCCATAATTTAATTAATGAGCCAGATGGATGACCACATGATAAAAACCCATCACAAAACATAGAATATGATGGAATAAATTCGTTCAGTGGCTCATCCAACAGCCACATATTCCTGAATTTCAAAAGAAACTTCAGTTTTATAGAGAATTCCTCTAAAAAAATTTAAAATCCTCTCGTTCAAGGATATTGCGACTAGAAATAAAGGACTAAAATTGGCAACAGGATAACGATTGATTGGCCACTATCCAAGAAACCTTGGGAGCACAGAAGAAAACGAGACAATATCTAGTTTCACGTTCCCAAAGCACAAAAACTCCATTTCAGAATTCAACTGCACTCTGTCAACTATTTCCAAGACAATAAATATTAAACAACACCTCGAGACATCTCGATCCCACGATCAGAGATAACTTCGATGACAATGTCTCGTGGATGCCACAGTACAACAATTCACCGGACACTAAATCTTTGATGAGACACATCACAAACTGTGAACACATCGGAGACGAGAAGTTTGCAGGCAACTGCAGTTTGTTTTGAGATAGAGGGACAGACGGTAATTCGATTTAGATAATTGGATGTACGCCAGTGCTAACTCGTAGAGTGGAGGTCACACGTGGGTGCAACATGTGCGAGAAAGTATTAGAGTTATCATTAATGAATTTAGAAGTGTCAAAAATTATTACGAGGAATTTTGTGATCAAACGATAAGAAATTGATGCAACAAATTAATTTGATATTTTCCTCTAAACCTAATAATTAACGAGATATTGACGAAACAGAGTCCACAAAATTTTTTAAACTTGAATTTTTTATTGATAAAAACGGTAGTTGAATGAATAACAAAATTTGTTTGCAGATTATTTATCGACACCTCGGAAACTATCAGGTTTAGAGAAAAATGTCGTGGACACTTTCTGTGAAAAATTTAATTCTCGACAAAAAATTTGTTTTCACATTTTTCTCTAAACCCAATAGTTAACGAGATATCTACGAAATAAAGCTTACAAATTTTTTAAAACTTATGTAAAAAATTTCAAAGTCATTTTTTATTGATAAAAACATCGAGAGCACGAGTTTTTAATTTTATCTGGGATTTCTTCATTAAACTGAAGTTGAAAAAATTGTGGAAAGGTGGGAGTGAACGCATGGTGTGAGAGTTGACATGTATAATCATAACAAATTAACATTCCCATACTTATCCCTCGAATTATCACTGGCGAATGAAATTAATTTGAGGCTTGCATTCACATTAATTTAAGCACGATGATTATGTAAACATTGTATTCACTGATCTGCTGAGCAAAACCTCGTCAATCATGACAGATCCACCTTTAGTTAGTTGGTATTGTTTGCTATGTAAATCATTCTGATTTTTATCATTTATCTTGTCATTCGTATTTCGATTTTATTTATTTTATTTATCGTTTGTCATGATGTTTCTGGTCATTCTCAGATATTTTACACTCTGGGTTTACCATTGGTGCATAGAGAATGTAGAGCTTGTGAACTATTAAAAAAAAAATAAAGAACTTGATTCTAAATATTTTTTTCAACATATTTACCTCAAGATCGCGGTAGTAAGGCTCCCGGAGGTTCTCCGGGACTCGATTGTTGTATGCCTTGGATAGTAGCCATTTCATGGAGGCACGTTGTTTGGCCTGCAATGCAAAAAATGACAATAAAAATTATTAAAACGTTCGCCTGTATTTTTACTCCATTATTAATTTATTTTAGGCACTTTTGGGCTCAACAAATTATTGAAAATATTTGTTGCCACTGTTTGTGTTAATTATATTGATGAAAAAATATTTAAACCTGGAGATCACACGGGATTTGGAGTAATTAAATCATCACAAAGCCCACTGCGATAATTTTACATCTCACAGACGGCTAAATCCACTGTCCCTCGGTTGTCTGGGCACTCGGCAACTAGGCCGAGACACTCTTAGAAGCCACTTGTGCATTTTCACTTGAACTCCAAAGCCCATACATTCACACGTTTAGAGACTACACGGACTCTGCTATTCATAGATTTCCGTTTTCTCGCATTAAATGCTATTTCCACGTGAGTAAATTCAGGCATTTGCATCAGTATCATTGGTATGCACTTTCCAAGTCTCGAGTGATTAATTGATCTATGAAAATTGATTAATCGACGAGGAAAATTATTGAGATTAATGCAGGAATTTTATCGGAGTGATTTTCTCCGATTTCTGTATCTCAGCAGCAAATTAATTCAGGATAAAATGTCACAAGACATTTTTGTGGGAAATTTAATTCTCTACAAAAAAGATCTTATGAAATTTTTGCCTAAAATTGATCCTCAACGAGATAATTGCATAGTTAAGAACATTAATGAAAAAAATGAAAGCATGGAGTTTTTTTTCATGTTTTATTCATCTTTTTGACGGAATAGCATTGATTTTATGGAAAAATGCCATAAAATATTTTATGTGGGAAGTTAAGTTCCCTATAAAAAAGATTTAATGACATTTTCTCGTAAAATTAATCGTTAACGAGATAATTGTATAATTGAGAAGATTAATGAATGAAAACAGTGCAAACATGGAGTGTTTTCTTTTTTTCTAATGACCATTTTAACCAAGTAAGATTGATTATAGGGAAAAATGTCATAAGATATTTTATGTGGAAAATTAAATTCTCTACAAAAAAGTTTTAATGAAATTTTCTCTCAAAATTACTCGTTAACGAGATAACTGCATAATTTCACAGTTGATGGGACCGACGCAGGGTAAAAAGAAATTTTTCACGAGTGAAATCCCGTGAAAATTGATCCCAAAAATTGACCGACGATGGAGATATGTAATCGGGGTCAAAGACACACATGCAACTCTGGGTAAAGGGGGTCGCTGTTCGTACGGAACAGGTATGCGATTATTCTATCGATCCACGAGTTGGGAGTTAAACCCAACTGTTATTCGCGCAAGTACGAGGACTCACCAACCGGAATATCCGGCCCGACAGCTATAAACAATCACAAATAAAAGGTATCAATCATTTTTTACGAGTAAATTATTTTCCCATTTGTCTTGAATAATTTTTTTCCCCCCGATTTTTCTTTTGCAACTTTTCAATTGCAGTTGAGGTGAGGAGAATCTCAAGGGCGAATCGCTTATTCTCTTTGGTTTTGTGGAACAATGATGAGTGGAATTGCGAAGAGAGAAATTCTTTAAGGCCGTTGGAGAATAAAATAAAATAGGCGGTTTTAACGATCGTAAAACGCAAAATAGAAGGACTCGGTTTTCTAGACTCTCATAAATGTTGAATTATCTTGTTATCTAATTGATGTACAAGAAAATTTCATAAGACATTTTTGTAGGAAATTGAATTCTCTACAAAAAAGGTCTCGAGGTATTTCCGCCTAAAACCCCTCGTTAAGGAGATAATGACACAATTTCAAAAAAATAAAATTGCACCTGATAGTAGTGAGCCAAGAAAATGCATCGTCTGTAATCGTGGATAACTCGCAAACCGCAGAGTGAAATTTCCCGATTTTTATTCAACTTTCAGGTATTTTTTTAGGCTTCAAAATGAGCGCTGACTCGTCGAAATCGCATCATTTGTTCAACAGATATCAACGACTAAAGTCAGTCTTAACCCAATTCTCAAAAAAAAAAAAATTCTTCCCCTTTCGTCACGTTAATTTTATCATCCACACTCATGCACATAGATTTCAATCGCTAGTTATTCTATAAAAAGACGCTCAGTCATAGTTGGTAAGGCCGGGAAGGGCGTTACGGCAACGACACGGGGATTGCATTACAATAGTGACCACGACGCGATTCACTCGATGAAACAGTCCCGGTCATTCCGCGGATTGGGTCAATTGTTTCGCATCAGCAATAACTGAATTGCGTCATTCATTCTCTATCGGTGTACGGGACAGTTGAAGAAGATTTCGGAGAGCGAATTTTCGTCGACGGAATTCCAGTTTTTATTCGGCTCGAAAATAACTTCTCAGAGGAAAATATTGGATTGAGACGAAGATTCATATTGGCTACTGTTTTCCAAATATCTCAAAAACTCATCAATTTATTAAAAAATGTCACAAGATCTTTTTTGTAGCCCACGAAATTCTCCATAAAAATGTATCATGACATTTTTTTTCTAAACCCGGTCATTCCCGAGATATTCTCGAAAGAATCGGAACGAAATTTTTGAAATGACTGAAAATTGCACGAAAAAATGTAACAAAATCGAATGTATCGAAATCTTTTTTAAGCCCACGAAATTCTCCACAAAAAATGTCTTACAACATAAGATTGAGTCGATTGTCTCGCATCACCAACAACTGAATTGCGTCATTCATTCTCTATCGGTGTACTGGGCAGTTGAAGAAGATTTGGAAGGGCAAATTTTTTTCGACAGAATTCCACTCTTCCTTTGGCTCGGCAATAGCCTCTCGGAGGAAAATATTGGATTAAGACACTTGGACGATTCACAATTTGGATAGAGTGCCCAAGGGGCCTTTGAAAAGTCGATGGGCCAAACCCCAATCGGCCTGACCCGCTTTCCACCCGACCCTACACACTTTCAAAGTCAAATTCAATCATCTGTACCGTGAAATCATCCAAATTATTTGCTCCTTGCACTCAAAACATTCCTTCATTCATTATTTCATTTATTCATTTAATTTATTTTGTTTTCTCTTTCTTTTTCACTAAATAAATGTATTGATTGTTGTTTAAAGATTGGTGACTATTTCTCGGAAAATAATCTCATTTAATGGGAAAATGTATTTTATGCGGGTCAGGGATTTGCAGAAACATCTTGGAATTCAATTTCGAAATATTTTCCTTCATTCCCTCCAGCAATCTCATTGCACTCTTCTCAGCGTTATTTTACGGGCCAGGAAGCTTACGCTCACCTTTCTGAACCACTGAATTTCACCTTCAGAATGATATTTTTGTGGAAAATTCTTAGCCTCCCTTTTGTTGATTAAATTTAGTTGATTATTTTTCAGGTATGAGACGAATTTGAAATACACTACACGCACTATTTTTCGAATATCTCGAAAGCTATGAGATTTATCGAAAAATGCCACAAGAAATTTTTTGTAGCCCACGAAATTCTCCACAAAAAATATTCCGAGACCTTTTTTCCTAAATGTCATCCTTCCGGAGGTATTTGAATTATCAAAAACTCTACCAAAAAGAGTCCACATTTTCCCGAATATCTCAAAAACTACTCAATTTATCGAAAAATATCATAAAAAATGTTTTGCAGCCCATGAAATTCTCCACAAAAAATGTCTTGCAACTTTTTCTCCTCAACCTCCTCATTCCCGAGATATTTCCAAAAGAATCTGAATGAAATTTTTGAAATCATTGAAAATCCCTCTAAAACACTTTAAGCTATTCTACAAACATCTCGAAAACCATTCAATCAACCAAAAAAAAATCAAACGACTTTTTTTTAAGTTGCCACCCCTCACCTCCTCCAGCCCCTCCCCCTTCCCGTCGCAGGTATTCATAAATAACTCTCAAACTCCTTTCATTTCCCTTTTTTTCTCTTTTAGTTTCACTTCTTTCATCCTTAAAAAAAATTCTTCTCACCCCCTTTACACCCTATTCTCTAGTTATCATGGTTCTGTTTATGTAGAGCATGTGTCCCCCTCCCCACATGGCAATAGCCAAGGGACATCGAGGTGAGCGTGACCCACGAATGTGACTTCTCCTGGACTTTCTAGATAAATCACTTAATCCATTCCTCTCTCTCTCATAACCCGCGACAGTAGTAGGTTGGTAGGTTGTGCCAGCCAACTCCCATTTACGTGTAAATCACCGGTACACCACCATTTTCGGCTCGAAGCGGCATTAAATCGCACGTAATCATCATTAACGTAATTATTACCCAAATTTGGTTGCATTTGATACAACGAGAAATAGCAGTATTTATTTCCATTCATAAATGCAAATGCCGGTTTTCTTGTGGTGGTATTTCTAGGTGTTTTGACATGGAAAATGTCAGCTTTGGATGTGGAACCGTCATCCGGTTGAGGAGCAGATGCCATCGTCGCGAAACAACGAGTCGTTGGGAAAACAAACGCTTGAGAGTGTTAAAGCCAAAGGCTTGGGCTTGGGGAAGTTGAACGCCATTGTTTCACTTCTTGGAGTTTATATTTTTACTGGCATCATTTTTTTTTATATTCAAACGTGAAGGGGGTGAAAGTACTCCAGAAAATCCAGGAAAACCGTTTCCAATTTATTTTCTTCGAAATCAACTAAAAATTTGAAAGTCTATGTTTAGTTATGTTTAGTTTTTTGGGAGTATCTCGGAAACTAATCAGTTTAGGGGAAAATATCATAGATAATTTTTTGTGGAGAATTAAATTTTCTAAAAAAGGTCATTAGGTCAATCGTCGTAGCTAATGCCGTTTACGAGATATTCGAAGAATAGTGCGGAATGGGGTTTCATCTCGTTTCATTTTTTTAGTTTTTTTTTTCTTGAAGAGAAAACGAGGGAATGTTTAACGCATAAAAATACTTGAAACAAGTTCTCTCTCTCAGCAGCAGTGAGTGTTAGCCATAAAAAGAGTTTTGAGAAAATGCAACGATGCAGAGTTTAAGGTCCATGTGACATACTGTGTCACCTGCCAGAAACGACGGGAAAGTGATCGATGTCAACAGTGTTAATG